TTTTTTTTTTTTTTTTTTTTTTTTTTTTTTTTTGTTTCATCAAGATAGCAAAAAATAATGAAATGAATTTTGCAGTTTACAGTAATATGTAACAAAAGAAAAAATAATTAGTAAAACATTTTTGCAAATAACAGCTAAAAATTTTTCTTTTAATAAACTGTATATTTGTGCTGAGAAGTAGCTGAAACTTTCTTTTCTTGCTTAAGTACAAAGATACATACTTATTGTTTTAAGTTTCTAAATTTATGCCTTAAAAAAAAAAGATAAATTGTAAGCTGTTTTTTTTTTTCTTCAAAACTGTAGTTTTTTCTGCTGTCAGCAACGAACAATACTGTAGTTTTATTCAGATATATTTGTTTTGTCTCAAAGAAGTGCAGAGCCAAACTGCTAAGTGCTAAGTGATATTTATATACAGTAGCAAAGACAAAAAAAAGCTTGAAACTGTGTTTTCTTGATTAAAATCTAGAAAAATTAAACCTTTGTAGAGTTTAGAGCAACTAAATCAGATGTGATGAAAAATAAGGGTAACTTATTTTTTGCATATTTTCTTATCTAAAAGCATTGGCAAAACTATAACAAATGGATTAGTGCATAAACTTTTATTTATTAACAATATTTTTCATTGTTATTTAAAAGCTTAGCAAAAATTTAACTTCCTTACGTCATTTCATCATTTTTCTGTTTTGTCTATTAACTTACGACTCTTTTCAACTGAGATTTCAACTTTCAACTTTAGCAAATTTTTTTACGGCTTCTTTTTTCTTCAAATTTTGTTACTCTTTTGCTTCAACAACATAACAAATTAGGTTATCTTTCAACAGTTTAATTCTACTTTCAAGTCATCTGTGAATGACTGTAAAACTATGTTAAAAAATAAGACAAATGAGATCAAAACAAGTAATAAAAACCAAAAAAAATTGACTAAAATTGACAATTAAAAAACTGAAAAGAACATGCTTGTTTAACTGTAATAGCATTTTTTCTAATTTTTTTGGCTTGAATTGAGGAGGGAAGATGAAGACAGAGGAAGGAAGATAGAAGAAATAAAGAGAAAAAGAAATATAATTTTTTTTTAGAACTAAGATCAAGCTTAAGAGCAAAAAACAAGAAAGAAAAAAAGTAACAGCAAGTAAGATGCTGCAACTAAAGCAAAAAAAAAAAAAGTTATATAGAAAAAAGGCGGAAAAGACGTCAAAAAACTATCTCGTTTAATCGAAAGCAATTCAAAAACTGAAGCATTAAATTGCATCAGTCAATTTAAAATACCATAACTAATCCAGGAAAATAGCTTTTTTTGCCTTTTTTCTTGATTCTGTTTCAGTTTATCTAAAAATAAACACCCAAAAAAAAGACTGAATAAATAAATAAAATAGCCTTCACTATTTTAGTCTTTTTTGACACTATGTATGTGATAGCTCTAATCACTCGACTGCAGCTTTAAGTCTTTCCTTATAGACTCAGCACTTATACTATCAAATAAAAAAAAAAATTTAAACCTATTCTTCTGTTTCTAAATTAAAAAATATGTTGTAGTTCACAGGTATCGTCAATACCAATATTTTGTCTTTTCTGCCGCTTCTAACTTTGTCGCAAGCTTTAAATTTAAAAAAAAAAAAATATATATATATATATAAAAGAAGTTAAATTATCAATTTTGCAACTTTTTTCCCCAAAGACTTTTCAGCCTAAACCTTAAATCACCTGTTCTTGCTGAAATAAACAACAATTAGCTTGTTGTCGCTTATTTGTATTGCAAAATCAAAGTAATCATGGCGAAAAAAAATGTTGCAAAGAACTGTAGTAAACTTTTTTCGTCATTATTTTCTGATTACTTTGAGGAATCAGGAAACGCTATTCATTTTTACAAAAAAATTATATAAAAAATGACTAGAAGCTGAAAATTTAGAAAAATGAACAATAATCTGTTGATATTGGTCAAGCGGCAGAGGTTGAAAAAATATGGATGGAAGTTGGGAGGAGAGAGGAAAAGTGAAGAGAATAAGTAAAAAATTTTAGGCTAAGAATTAGTGCTCAATTGCCTTTGTGCAAGACGTCAATCAAACAATAATTTCTATTCTTTCCAGACAATTTTCCAATTATAGAACTGAATTTGCTTCAGTTTTTATACAGATTCTAAGTCTCAATAAAGCAACAGTAATTTTGTTCAGCAACAATTCTTTGGATGTTGTGGCTGCCATTGCCGTCGTTGAGACTGCAGTTGGCTGTCGTTGTCGGGTTGGTGAGTGATGTTTGTCGCCAGTTTTGGTAATAATGCTAAACCACTGTTTTGCAAAAGGCCAACATTTACAATAGCAGTTGATTTATAACGATCAACAAATTAATTGTTGACTACAAATAATAATTTAATCAAAGAGATAATTTTAACTTCGTCTTTCTTTCACATTCAATTTTTATTCTGCACATACAAAAGACAGTTCAGTTCTGACCACTCAAAATCGATGTGGCATATTCTTAGAAAATGTGTTATTTCATCGAACATTCGACATAGTATTTCAATAACAGAAAAAAGAAAAAGAAGAGAATTGGTCAACAGCCAATTCCCAAATATACTTAGATGCAGCTTTTTTTACTAAAATAACCCTTGACCGTCTTTCCTTCAACTAATAATCGTTGTCTGTTTCCGCATCGTTCAAATTTTATCTTCTCCCTTTTTTGTTTACCCTAAACTGCGGAGGCTTGTTTTCTGTAGAACAAATCTGCAAATAGTAACTGGATGCATGTATTGGAGTAAAACGTCACACTCTTTTTTTTGCCATTTTTGTTCTGTTAAAAAAAGCAATTGCATTTTTTGGTCTTTGAAAATTTAAAAGTTGAAATGTAAAAAAAAGTAGAAAAAATTGAAAGAAAAAGGGAAACCTTTACTTCAAATATGTTTTGTGCTTTAGTTGAAGAAACAACCTTCTACTTCATCGTCCTTGATTATAGTTTTTATTCTTTTTCATTTTTCTTTTTTCGTCTTTTTCGGGAAAAAAAATTTGCAGAAAAACGTGACTTTTTTATTATCTATAAGCATCTCTTCCTCTACATGGTGGTTAAAAATTTGAGACAAAAATCTATCTGAAAGAAAATATTTGAACGGTTTGTTAAGTCGCTTAAAGCTGTTTGATGACATCAATTTCGCAACCAAAATATACATTTTTGCTTGGTGATAACAACGGGATTACAACCGGGAACTTTATTGCCTTAGTTAATTCTAAAGCAGTGAACAGCACCACCGTGTAACACAGCTGATCACCCGTGTTCCTACTATCATCATCATCATTACCACTCTTGTTAAAGTCATCGACTTTATCATCTTCAGATAAAAGCTGAAAGTAGATGATTGAAGTAGTGCAGTTCTAGTTCGAGGTGGTTTAAACGACAAGGCGGAACTGATGCGATGTTTGACCGCGCCCCTCTGAACGGCCACTGCTCCCTGCGTTCGGCTTGACATCCCCCAGTGCCCATTCCATTCAGTTACCATCATCGCCATCATAGGTTCTCATGCAGCCGGTCACATTTCTCAAGCGTTCGTCCAATTTTCCACACTTTTCTGTTCCTTCAGTTTTCACTTAACCCAATTTATGCAGTTTTTCTTATTAATTTTACTTTAGCCACTCGTTATTAAAATTTGATTTTTTATGCTCTAATCTACTTTTTTTACAGCGTAAATTGCTTTTACCACACATTTAATAAGGCTTTAATTGAAAAATTGTCAAAAATAAGGAAGGGAGGAAATAGGGAAAAGAGTGATGAGAAAATGAAAAAAATAACAGTTAACAGTAAGCACAAATGACGGCTTAGTAAAAATTTAAGTATTTCTCAGTCACGTTAACCATCCATCCTTCAAACTTTGAATTATACATCTCAACCGATTTTTCTCAATTTATTTTCCGCTTCTCTGTTAATAATGTTCTGAAGTATAATCTGATTCAAAAAATGTGTGAAAGAAAAGTAAATTTTGCACGTGCTTTGCTAAGACAAGGATTTTTTCAATTTTTTGTCATTTAAAGACTGAGTGGATTTAGCACTGTAGGTTTAACCTTTCTTAGCCAAATTATTTGTATAATCACAAATAAAGAAAAAAATCAGCATTTTTTCATGTCGCTGTTTTTTTGATTTATTCATTGCTGTCATTTTGCAATTTAAAAATAAAAACTTATAAAAGGCTGGCACAAAAAAAGATTTTTCTCAAAACTTTTTAGAGAATTTCAACTTAGATAAATAAATGTCAAAACTGCTGTCGTTTAATGGTGGCGGTTTTGGCAGTTTTTAAGCTTTTCCCTCAACAATTTATCGTTTTATAATTGAAGTGTAATTTTTGCTTTTAGATTTTGCTTCTAAGAAACTGCTACTCTTATTTCTTCATTTTTTTTTTTTTTGTTTTTGTTTTGATTTGATAATTTCAACGTTTGTCAAAAAACCGCAATTTTGTTATCTTCTTTCCTTTTTTTTTTCGTTTTTTTTTTCTTATTGCAATAAATCTTTGTGCGACAGTTGGAGTAGTGAAAAATTTTGCTGTTTAAAAATGAGCGCTCAAGATTTCCTTTTTTGATTGACCAACAAAAAGAAAAAAAAAAAAAAGATGAGGGAAGAACAGAAGAACAGAAGAGGCTATAAAAATAGCTTAAATTTGTGTTCTGTTTTTTCAAAAACAGAGAGGAGAAAAAATCTGCATAAAAAATGACTGCTGGGTTTTTCTTCTGCTTTTCAAAAGTCCACTGTCAATTTACACTGCCTAATTTTTGTGGATGGATGATCAAGTTCATATGTGGTGATCTAAGACTATATTACGCATCGGATGCACACATACATATTTACAGAGCAATGTTCAACAAAGTCATTTGTCATCTGGAACCCTTTATCAGAAAATTTATTGCTTATTTTGCTGTAACCAATAATGCTGTAATCCCGCATAGCAGAAATTATGAAAAACGATTCAACAAATAACCATCTAAAAATTTGGAAAACTTTTTCACAATGACAGCAATTGATGTCTTTGTTTGCCGTTGTTGTTCTTCTGTTTTCGACGCCTATTATCAGGCACCGAATACTACAATTTTCCAACAATTTTTAACTACATTTGATAAGTAATAACTGCAGAGTTACTACAATTAAATTTTGTGCAAATAATTTTGTGGTTTTTGAATAAATAACGGTGTGAAAACGAGCGTAAAATGATTTGCAATTATCGTCAGAAAAAAGCTGTCGTTGTTATTTTGTTGATTTTTCACCAACAAATAACCTTTAAAACTTTACTTGTTTCTTTGATTTTTCAGAAGAGCTTTTTTGATCTGTTTGTTTATTTATTTGCCTATTTAAAAATTCTTTTATATTATTATTTTTTTGCTTTTTTTTGCTCTTTTTATTTTGCTATTTTGCTTAGCTGTTAGAAAAAGCATTTGTAGCAGTCGGTTACTAATGGCTACTGAAAACGTGGCAAAATAATTAATGATAAAGCAAGAATTAAGTTGTCTTATAACTTAAAAAAGAAAACAAATTTATATTTTCTAAATTCTTATTGTTAAAAACAATTGTTTTTTATTTTCTCCTTTTTTTGAATTGAATTTGATGTCAACAAAATTTAACAACAACAGTAGCCACGATATTGAGTCATAGGGAAGTAAATTGAAGCAATTCACAGATCTATAGATTATAAGGATTCCAAACAGATTAAAGAATTAGAAGTGCCATTAAAAAATTAAGGTTAAATAATTTTTAGAAATATTTTAGTTATTCAACGGCAATTTAAAAGGTATCAATTTTTTCTTTCCTCTTTTTTTTTTCTGCTTTTATTGTTTTTGTTAACCAAAATTTACTCTTTAATATAAAATATGAAGATGAAATGAAGTGGATGAGAGCCGCTAAAGTAAGGTTTATACCGTTTACCAGCATATTGGTTTACATGTATCAAATTGTTTCCTTTCACATACTTAATGATTTGTAAACGAGCGCTTTGTGAACGGCAGCCCAGCGCCAATCGTTGATCTCAGGAATCGTAAAAAGACGTCAACAGATTCTGAGGAGATTTTCATGCGCTGTTTTCCGCTTTTAATTATTATGAAAAACATTCTGTCATTGTTTTATTTAACTACAAACAACCTTTAATTATTTTACACACCACAATTGCAGTTTCTCATTGACGGTTCAGATAGCTTTGAATCGCTGCTCCTCTTTGGCGAGATGTATAATTTTCAAAAAAAATTTACTCAACTACTTGGAAACAACCTATCGATTCCTCTTTCCGCTTTTTATCTTTAACAATTGAACCGTTATTTTGCGCTTGAACAGTGCTAATTTGTTGTCTATGTTGGATAATTTTAGGTGCAATTTTCATGCAACTTAGTTGCTCGTATTCTTGCAGCCTAATATAATTTTGTCGTAATTTTTTGGTCAGAATTTAATTTTGGTTTATGCAAAACACTACTTCAGAGTTTGTATGCGCCTAAAGAATCGCAAAAAACTTTTCAAATACTCACCGGAATCGAATAGTTATTCATCAATTATCAACGGCGATCATCGTCACTATCGTCATCATCAACGTCAACATCATCAACAGCAGCAACACTTGCAGCTGCAGCACCATCAGTACCAACAACAGCATCATTTTCAGCAACAGTATAATCAACATCTTCAAATTGCTGAAAATTCAAAAACTCTTAACAGTTTTGGTCGTTACTTTGCAATTGCCATTCTAATTATACTGTCAGTTCTGTGCTTTTATAACAGTTACGATGGCGATTTTGTGTTTGACGATCAACCAGCAATTTTGACCAACAAAGTAATTCGTGAATCAAAAAAATTTAGCGATTTTTTCATTCACGATTTTTGGGGACAACCAATACGATTACCGCAAAGTCATAAATCGTTTCGACCATTAACAACAATTACTTTTGCGTAAGAAAATTTGAATATTAATCTTTTCTTAACTTTTATTTCAATCGGCTATATCTATTCAATTTTTTTTGTGGTTTATTGACCAGAAAAAGAAAGATAAGTGCTTAGAGAAGCTGTTGTTTAAAACTGAATTGATCATATTTAAATATGAGTAATAATTTCCGGTCATTAAACTGACAGTTGTATTTCAAAAGATCTGAGTGATTAAAATCTGTAAATAATTCAAAAAAAAAAAAAAAGATGCCATCTGAAAATCACCACTATATTCAATCGTTCCTTAATAAATCAAAACCAATTTGGTGGAAACACAAAACAGTAAAGACGACAGAAAATTTACCCCAAATTTGAAAAACTTTCGATTATTGAGTCACCAGAACAAAAAGCTATATTTTCGAGACTTTTTTTTTCACTTATTCTTTTTTATTCTCTTGTTGTTGTCATCAATTTCATTTTTTTTTTTTTTTTGATGAGAGGTCGTCTAATTAATTGTCTAAATTTTGATTTCCAGATGTTTTGCCTGTTTGTTTTTGTTTGTTGCCTGTTTAGTATATTTAGCTGCCTCTCAATTTATACTTTCTAATCATCGGTTTACCGATTAACTTTGCAAATATAATACCGAAGACCTGAAAGAAAGCTAATAAAGTTTGGAGGAAAATTACAATCAATTAAAATATTTTGTTAAAGAAATTAGTACTCTTTGTCAATATTTTTTAGTGGTTCTTTTTTCTGCAGTTGAGCAAAAAGCAGAGGTTTTTGTTCTATGTTCTTTCTTTTTAACTTTAAAATTTAAATTTTTTAACATTAGAAATGAGTTTGAAATAAAAGTCTATAAGCAAAAAAAAATTTAAGTGATTATCTTTGATAAATCAAAAAATTTTATCTTAAAAATTAGTTATTCTAAGTAAAGCGTTGCTATTGTTTTCAAATTTTTTTTATCAGCACATAACCCAAAAGAATACTCTGAACTTTCATTGTTTTTTCTAAAAAAAAAAGACTAAAAAGAAGATTAAGGTACAAAAAATTGTCTAGTATGTATATCATTTTTTTTTTTGACTCTTACTGCTATCAATTAAGTCTATGTTTTACTGTAAAAAAGACCTGTAAAAGAGACAAATGTAGCCAAATGGTTTTTTTTTCAAAGATTTATCTCAGCTATTACAGTATATGTAACCAAATGCTTCAACATTATCAAACACTTTTGTATTTCAAAGGTTCAGTAACCTTCAAGTTTTATTCAACAGCTCCTTCCTTAGCTGTCTTTTTCTTTTTTTTTTGCTTTGTTATTGCTGTTGTTGCAACAGCATAAGGGCAGAAACCAAAAAAAAAAAATACAATTATTTGAAGAATATACTTGAAAAATAACGGTGAATTGAACATTTTGGGGTCAAGCTGCCCCCCCTACCGCTTTTTGATGAACAGGCCCCACAATTGTTAAGCCTTAAATGGATTTCCATTCTAGTGAACACTCACACTCACACATATAGAGATGTATATTTACTGATACTTCACACATTAATAACAATAATAATGATCTATGATGCTTTCTTTCACACACTGTTTTACATAACAAAAATATTCTCTATAGACAGATATATACTTTAGCTTATAACCATTTGGGAACAATTATAATTCCTTCCTTTATACACTTTCTTTTTTTTTTTTTTTGATCAGTTATAACAAAACGATTTGACTTTATTTGGCCAATTTATCGCTTTTTTCTTTCAAATCTTTTTTTTTTTCTATTCATCTTATCTTTATGTTAAACCACTATCAGCTATCTCAGTTTTCGGCGGATATTCTAAACAGCAAACACCAATAGCGGTAGTGGAAACAGTGGTAAAAGGAAAAGGAAAAATTAAGCCAATTTATTGTTATAAATCCGTCCGCTATAAATAACCATAAAATTTTGCATAAGAAAACGACGATGACGAAACGTCTTTTTGTT